GGCAGTGCCCGATAAACATTAGCTCTTACTAGTGTTTAAAAGCAAAACAAGACAAAAATAATAATGAAAACACAAAGTCCAAAGATGCTAACCTGGGGAGATCGACAGGCCCATGAAAGCACCAGTAGCACTGGGGGCTGGAGGAGCTGGGGGAAAAAGTGACTCAGCGGAAGGGGTTTCCAAAAGTGGTGAGGCAGCAGAAGGCCACCAGAGACTGTTTCTGAAAAGGCAGCTCTGTCCCGCAGGCCTGGGGATGGCATGAGTTGAGGGGGTAGGGCTGGACCTCACAGGCCGGGATCTGCTTTGTCCCCACTGGCTGCTGTCAAAGCAGGCCCCAGCGAGCACAGTCAGGACACGGCCAGCCACCCGCGACCACAACCAAAACCCACGCTGGTTTCCCTGGTCCCTGACTGGCTGCCGACGAGGGCCTGGCACCTGAGTGGGACCATCTGCAGGACTTGCAGGGCCCATTGTTCAAAAACTATTAATTATGAAGAACTTCAAGGTGGTGACAATAGAACATCAAACCAAGCAAGGGGACCTTCGGAGCCTGGGGCCTTAGCATCTGCCTGGGCTGCACACCCGTGAAGCCGGCCAGCAGTGCAGCCCAGACGGCAGGTACTGGCAGGGGCCAGGCCTCCTTACGGGGCTGGACCACATCGTTTCTATCTAAAGATCCCCCTGTGGCACATACAACCCCTGCTCGGGGCAGACAGCAGCATGTGCTGTCTGGAGGCCCAGAAAGGCCTGTGCCAGCGGTCGTCTGGGGACACACACCCATTTCACAATCCCACGACCTGTAACCGGGTTGGGAAATGTATTCCAAGTCCCAGATTTCCTTTAGTTCCTCTTCCACGAAGGGCTCTGGCCTGGCCATGTGCTGCCCCCAGCCTGGGGCTCCCTCCCTGCTGTCCCACCTCCCCAGAGGGGCCACCTGACCCCTTGGGCTCCAGCTGCATCCAGGCCGGGTCCCTTTGTTTCTTTCCAACTCTTGTCCCCCTGAAACCATCGCTTGGATTTACATGTTTACACATCTGCTGTCTGTCTCACCCGCAAGAATCTGAGCCCCAGGAGGGCCCTAGGAAGATGCTCAGTAAATATGAGTTGAATGAAACACCACCTCCTCGGAGTGGGCTGCCCTGATCGGCAACCCAACCTCTAGCTCATCATTATCGTGTCTGAAGCAACCTAGTTTAGCTACGGGTTTTCGGGCCTGTCTCTAGTCTCTCCTGACTCCCACGATGTCACAGGAGGGTAGGGAGTTTGTTTTGGTTGCTGCCCTGTGTCTAGTACCCAGCACAGAGCCTGGCACTGAATAGAGGCACAACATTTACTGAGCGAAGGAAGGAAATGTCTTTCCCTGACTTTCGGTCTCCTTCCCACGGACTCCGGCTGGCCCAGCAGAGGTGGGCCACCTCCCAGTACCCGCACTGCCAACAGAGTGAGCTCTCCCATCTCAGTCCACATCACCTCTTCCCGTGCCCAGCCTGACAGCGTGCTCTGTCCCCCGATCACTGCGCTCCCAAGCACCACATAGGGTCATGCCTGGCACACATAGGGTTGCCAGATTTAGCAAATAAAAACACAAGACATCAAGTTAAAATTAAATTTTAGGTAAGCAACACATAAATTTCCAGTATAAGTATGTCTCAAATACTGCACAAGAAACATACTAAAAATTGTTCATGGTTTATCTGACATTCACATTTATCTGGCAGCCCTAGGCACACGTGAAGCCTCCCAGGAGTGTGGGTAGTCAAGTGTATGCTTCTTCCAAAGCATCTTTGTCCTTTCCTGCTACCCACTCAGCCAGGGGCCCTGTCATTGTGGGAAGGCTTTCCAACTGTCAATATCCTCGTCTGCAAAAGTGAAAACAACATAATGCCAGAGCCTCCCCGGCCGGGGTTCCATAAGGATTAAATAGCATAACTGCTAACATATACTCAGCCCTCTCTCTTCTTATGCCCTTCCAAGGCACTGCCCCCCTCACCCCCTCACAATCACCCCAGGCAAAGGCACCTTTAGCATCCCCACTTTGAAGAGGACGAAACTGAGGTCAGAGAAGTGAAGATACTCAGCAAGGTCACATGATTGTGTCCCGCTCGTCCTTGGAGGTGCCGTTGCCAACACCATACTGAGACCCTGCATTAGGCCTCCAGGCAGAACTAACTTTGGAGCCAGGACGGAGACCGCTAACTAGTCCCAGGTGTCACCATCAAAACAGTGGGGTCACATTGTAGGTGCTCATTAAATGTGACCAGTGCTGTTGTTCCAGACAGATGAACCAGAGGTCAATGTAGTGGGTTTGTTTTTTAATCCACTGAATTAACTGGTTATTTTTGCCTGCTGGCAGTTTAACCTGAATTGTGTAAAATGTTGCCTCATTTCCAAGACAGTCAACGGTGTGTGATTCTTGCTGCCAGACAGGCCAGATCAGCTGCAAGAGAATTCAGGAGCGCAGGAGCTGCCCCTGGCCTCACTGAATTCCTGGCACTCAGGGCTAGCTAGAGCTCAGTGAAAGTCTGTTGATTGAATGAATGAAGGAATGGCTGAAATGAGGGGCAAGGCTGGTGGTCTCCTTTGGGGAATGAGTGGGATTCAAGGTCACCCCCAGGCCCTGATAACAATTTCAGGGACCCCCCCCAAGGCATGTTCCTGACTCTCCAGCTTTTTCTCCAAACTGCTGAGGTCAAATTGCAGCCAGACCTCCCCTGTTCCTTCCTTGGACCTGCTGGTGAGATCGACCCCTCCTTAAGGTAGGGGCTGAGACTGTCCAGCCCATGGCAGGGGCGCCCTCCACCGTAGGTCCTGAGCGCTTCCCCCCTTCCTGGCCCCTGGGCCTTGCTCCCTCACCAGTCAATCACTCCTGAGCTTGAACCCTCTAGAAAAAGTTTCTGGGCCTGCCCTCCTAAGAAAGCAAGAGGCATCACTGTGCCCCCTTGGGGAAGAGACCTCACCACTTTTGGGGCTGCCATTCAGTGAGTTCTGCAAGATACAGCTCTGGTTCCAGTCTATTAAAAGGAAATGCCAATAACTTTTAACACCTACCCCTCCCAAATGCAAAAGTGTTCTCTGCTCATTAGGAAAACTCCAGGCATTACAGGGATATGTGGATATTTAAAGAACTAAAAATATTTGGGCGGGGGAGCTGACCTGGGTTCAGCTTAGACTCCTCCATTGTGTGACCCTAAGCAAGTGACACCCCTGGCCATTTTCCGTGTCTGTAAAATGGGGATAATAATATTCCTGCCCCTCAGAGTAGGCGTCAGATTGCGTTCATGTTGGTACGTTTCTGGCGCACGGTAAATAAGTACTTGTTAGATAAATGGAGATTTCGGGCAGGGTCTAGGAGAGGACACACCGAATTGCTGAGAGGATGTGGAGATGGGCCAGGGAGGGGGGCCTCTTACGTAATATTTTAATATCTTTTTAATTCCAGGAGAATGTGTTCTTGCAGCACTTCTGTAATTAAAACTTGAAATAAAAGTACACCCCCGCATTTCCTCCCCCGTCTTTAGAACTCCCG